CAAGCGACGACAATGGCTGGCACACTGGTGGGCTGGGACCAGTCTATCCACTTCGCAGTCTTTTTTTTCCAGGCAAAGACCCTCTACCGCTTTGTGCCCCAATCCCACTACTGCCTTGTGGCAATAATAACACTGAATGGAATAAAAAACTTTATTTCAGTCCTGCAGGACGCGCATAGCGGGCGTCTCCTACGTAGGGACCGACAGGGAGTACCTGGCGGCCGCTTCGTGGGCCTGCTGGACGGCCCATTGCTGGTCGGCGAGAAGTGAGCTCTTGAGGGACCTCTCCCACTTGCTTGAGGTACAGTCGGGAGGAGTTGTTCTACACTCCCAGAGCATGTGTGCGAGTGTCGCTGTGTGTCCACATGATGGGCATGTGTCGCTGGGGTATGCATCGGGATAATAAACGTGAAGCGTGGCAAGGTTTGGGTACGTGTGTGTCTGTAATAGGCGTAGGGTTAATGCCTGCGGTCGCTTAAGTTTCGGATGTGGGGGTGGAAAAATGCGGCGTTCCAGGTAAAAGTGCTTTGTAATTTCATTGTACGTAATTGGTGCATCCCGATTGGTATCTAACCCAGCAAGATGAGGTTGTTCTGTGGCAGTGCGGTCGGTAAGTGCGCGCACTGCATCGTGGGCGATCTCGTTGAGGTTGGATAGGGCACCCGGCACCTGGCCGAGAAGGGCGGGGAACCAGATGACAGTGTGGTGCTTCAGGGCACTCGGGTCCGCATTGCGCAGGATACGTAACGCCTGGTCGGAGATGACTCCGCGTTCGAAGGCTTTGATGGCCGGCCTGGAGTCGCTGTAGATGAATTCCCGTTTGCTGTCGAGCATAGCTATAGCTATAGCTACTTGCTTTGCTACTTCGGGGTTTCGGGTGAGGATTGTGGCTGAGTTAAGAGTCTGCTGCGCGGATGATACCGCGACCGCGGCGAAGGCTTGGTTGTTGCGATAGGCAGCGGCGTCCACGAACGAGACGTTGTCCGCTTCCATGTCAATGCGCTTGAGAATGGCGGTCGCCCTCGCAAGGCGCCTGCCTCTGTTGTATTCGGGGTGTACATTTCGTGGTATGGGAGCGATCGTGATAAGGTCGCGGATTTCACGGGGAATTAGAGTCAACTCTGGGGGGTCCCTGGCCCTCGAGGAGAAGAAGCCGAGCTCGCGCAGAATATGGCGGCCCGCCTTGGTGGTAGTGAGTCGGGTCAATTGCACGCGTTCCTGAGCTTCAGCGATCTTTTCTAGCGTGTTATGTACGCCAAGCTCGAGGAGTTTGTACGTTGGAGTGGTGATAGGGAGGCCAAGGGCTCGTTTGACCACCTTGCGAATAAGCGCATTGAGTTGATTGCGCTCAGCACGTAGCCACTTGTGTATAGCGGCAACGTAGGTAAAATGGCACAAAACAAACGCGTGTACGAGACGCAGCAGGTTGTCTTCTTTGAGGCCATGGTGCCTGTTGGCTACTCTTTGTACGAGTTGTATGGCATTCTCAGTCTTTGTCCTGAGCTTGTGTACTGTTTGGGTGTTGGTTCCGCGGGACTCGAATGATTATGTACTGTACCCTGGGTACAGTACGACCATCTCTGATGTGGAGGGTGATATTGCGTTCTGCCGGAGGTTTCCACCCTTTGGGCTTGGCAACCCGGCGTTTGGGCAAATATATTAACAGCTCCGACTTTGCAGGTGAGCACCTGAGACCGGTGAGGTCGAGGTAAGACTCGGTGGTGTCGATAGCCTCTTGCAGGGCGGACTCAATGAAGCCATCCGACCCTGTGGGACCATATGGTTACATCATCCGCATAGATCGTGTGATTTAGCCCGTCTATTTTTGAAAGTCATTCGGAAAGCCCGATCATCACGAGGTTGAAGAGCGTGGGTGAGAGGACGGATCCCTGAGGAGTGCCCCGCTGTCCGAGCTCCACTTCTTCCGACACTAGGTCTCCTACGCGGAGGACAGCTCTGCGTCGAGTGAGAAAAGAGCGGATAAAGTAGTAAAATCGATGACCTAGGCCGAGGGCTGCGATCCCTTTCAAGATTGACGAGTGCGTTATTGTATCGAAGGCCTTTTCTAAATCGAGACCGAGTATTGCACGAGTGTCCCGAGTGTTTCCGCCATCTAGAATTTGATGCTTTAGGAGTAACATGCCGTCTTGAGTGGATAACCCTGGTCGGAAGCCAATCATGTGGTGCGGGATGCAATCGTTATCTTCGAGGTATCGATCAACCCTGTTGAAGACGACGTGCTCAGCCACTTTGCCCACGCACGACGTGAGAGATATGGGGCGTAGGTTATCTAGGCTCGGCGCCTTTCCCGGTTTGGGTATCAGAACCGTGTGAGCTAGTTTCCAAGCATCGGGTATCTCACCTTTTTTCATATCTCGTTGATAGTGTCAGTGAGGTAAGTGACGGAGTAATCGTCCAGGTTGCGTAGGAGCTTGTTGGTGATGCCATCGGGGCCAGGGGCTGAGCGGCCATTAAGCTCATGGAGAGCTCGGCGCACATCTTCAATAGAGAAGTCAGCGTCTAAGTTAGTGTTGTCGCTGCCAGAGTAATCAGGGTGAGGGGTCACAGGGCCCGTGGGAAGCGGGAGATATTTTTCCACGAGGTACTTGACAACATCTTCCGGAGACACTGTCCGTTTAGCCTGATGGTATCTTCACGATCGAATGACGCTGATTTGTGCGAGTGTTGGTTTCATTGAGGAGGTGTTTGAGTAAGTTCCACGTTTTGCCATTTCGAACCTGACCATCAATCGAATTACAGATTTCGTTTCACTGCTGTTTTGAAAGGATGCGGCAGTGATCCATCATGGTCTTGTTCAGCTGAGATATGCGTTTGCGTAACCTCCGATTAAGGTGCTGGCCCTTCCACCGGGCCAATAGAGACTGTTTGACCTCTAGTAGGTGGGCGAGACGACTGTCCATCTTTTCGGTTGGAAGGTCTGTGCTGATAGTTTTGGTTGCCTTGTTTACATCAGCTTTGAGCTGGGCCGTCCACGTCTCGAGGCTCGGTGGGGTATCGGGAGGAGGTCGTTCTGCGCGGGTCTTACGAAGGAGGTCCCAGTCGACCCACGTGTACGACTTGGTCTTCCTGCTTACTGTGGGGAGGTGTACAGCCAATACGAAGTGGTCGCTACCGAGATCTACCGCGAGGTTGGACCAGCGGGCGTCGGAGATATTCTTGACGAAGCATAGATCCGGCGTAGTATCTCTTTGCGTGGACGTACCAGTGCGAGTGGGGAAGGCCTTGTCCGTAATGAGAATAAAGCCCATGTCATTCGCATTTTTCCAAAGCTCGTTACCTTTGGGTGTGTCGTACGTGTAGCGCCAGGCGCTATGCGCAGCATTAAAATCGCCTGCAATCACTAGCGGGTTAGGCCCCGCGAGACGGACAGCTTTCTGGAACAAGCGTGTGAATCTTTGTCTATGGTGGCTGGGACTACTGTATATATTGAGCATGTATACGCTTTGTTGTGATATGTTGCCAGGGAGAATTTCGACCATAATGTGCTCAATTTTGGGCACATTGAGACTGGGCTCTGTGCAGGTTATCTTGTTAGCGACCAGGGTGGCGATACCGCGTCCTCCCGGAAAACGTGGCGGTTGGTACTACAGTCTCTTGTAATAGCATAATGCGAGGTTTGGCTTCGTGGCTACGAAGGTATTGCTGCAGGAAAGCTTTCTTGTGGGTGAAGCTCCTGCAGTTCCATTGCCAGATTCGCAACTCATCAATTGGCCTGGCCATCTTGAAGCATTTAGGAGTTGGCCTGAGCACCTGGCGGGTGCATAAGGGCCGCGTGATGCGGTGGACTGGGCACGGCTGTACGTTGCGACAACGGCTTACCCGCGGCAACGGCAGGGGCGACGACGTGATCAAGATATTGCTCCACTTGGCCCCAACGATTACCGTGTACCGCGAGAGTAGACTGCACGAGAGCCATGCTTTCCCCAAGAAAGCGAAGGCTTTCCTTAATCGTCGATAGCGTGCTCTTAATGTCGTCTAACTCTGCCTTTAAAGCTGGCTGGTCGTGGGCGACCGCGCGTTTCTTGGGTGCGCTCTCGCCGTCGTCGTTACCGGTGCCTACGGGTTGCGGCTGCAACGAAGTGACTGCATTGTCGTCGTTGTCGGTTGTGGGCGTAGCAGCGTGTGCGTTTCTGTCAGTTTTTAGTTCGGCAATTGCGACTGTGAGTTTGCGTATTGTTTCTTTCATCATCGCATTTTCGTGCTTTAAGATCGCTATCTCAGATGTGGTGTGTGTATGATGCTCTGGGAGTGAACCCGACGCTACCTGTGATGCAGTGTTTCCTTTTCCGCCCAAGTGAGAGGTCCCCGCTTATTCTTGTTGGCGTTGTCTGGCGATGGTGGTGCCGATGGGCTAGGCGATAGTTGACGCGAGACCCCGGTGAGACTGGGGTGAGGCCTGGAACCGGCATGAGGCCCGGAACCAGAGTGGGAGCCGGAGCGTGACCCGGGCCGGGAACCTGAATGGGAACCGTGACGTGAACCAGAACGAGACCTGGAGTAGCCTCGCGATATAGATCTGGTTGGGGTCCCACTTCGCGCGCTGCGGGAGTGGGTCCGAGGGTGGCTCCGGGACCTCGATACACGCATGGTGCGGTTCCTGGGACGACTCCGGGATCGGGACAGGGATTGGCTGCCATCGGATCGACCATCTGTAGAAAGCTTCGAGGACTGGTTGTCGTCAGCGGTTTCGTTGAATTCGTTCATTGCTTCGTAACTGTTGTGTCGCGTCGAGTGTGCTCGCTCCAATCTTCGTCGGCGCACCACGTATGGAATGTGGTAGCGTTCTGACGATTTGACTTTTACCATGAAATCCACTAAAAGGATGCCTTCATGATCAAATGCCATGAGCTTGCAGCATTTTTTTTTTTCAATTACTATCATAGAAGCTTAGTTCAAAAATTTTTTTTGTTCTTTCACAGCGATTTTCAGGTGTTTGTCATGTTGGTAAACTACACATTCAAAAGTTTTAAGCAACATACCTTTAGGAACTCATTGTACAGCTTTCGATCTGCAATCGACGCTGCTGCCTGGTACACCTACAAATAAAAAAAAGGCATTTCAATTTTAAGCAATATCAAATTTCGAGTTCAGAACATGAAACAAGTTCCATAACTGAATTACGATAAGCTGCTTTAGTGACTAGTGCCACAAATAAGGAAAGATTGACACCGAGACAATTTTTTCTTGCAGAGATAGCAATTATATATCGCCACTACAGGTGCAAATGTTGCCATCCCATAATGTTCAGTATAAAGTAAGAATTGCTAACACATGCGAGTGAAACTGTACAAGGACTCCCAATAGTTGTGGCTCAAGCAGAGACGAAACACAATGGCTGCCTTTTGAGTGAAAGGCCCGTAGAGTGAGGTTGCGAGTCTCTGGCAGAGGAAATACATGCATTGACGAGCTCGATGTGGTTGCTTTGTTTGTCAAGAATGCATTCTGCTATGTTTAAAGCACGGGTCTAAAACACACGACCCCCAGGGACCGTATACTAGTGGCCCGGCCCACAGCTGACTGTCTTCGTTCCATCCCCCTCTCCCCCCGCCCGCTAGCCCTAATATAATACACAATCTTCCGAACCAGAACAGATAGCTGTTCGCACCAGAAAGGAACTTTGCAGGTAAGGCCCATGGTGTGCTTAAAATTTTAGTAGGCAGAACAAATTTCAGACTTCCAAAATTGTTATTGAAGGCACAACAAATTTTTGCATAAATGGACATGATTTCAAAACAATGATGTTGTCCACGAGAAAAAATTCAAGATGGATCTAAATGACAAACAAAAAAAATTTTTAGTTTCAAACGGGAATCTAACCATGGATTTCTTCAGTGAAAGCATATGCTCCACAAAAAACATGGCGTGAATGTTATATACTATAAAAAGTGTCAGTAACAATAATGCATGGCAGAAGCACAAAATCACGCCAGGCGTTAAAACGTGGATTGCACAACAAGTGGTTGATTTCAAGGTCCACCTATTACAGTAGGCACAAAGTCATAATTAGTTATCATTATTAGGAAAAGCAACAAGTGCAAATGCACAGGTGCACATGTTGCCTTATGGAAGCATATCTTGCCAACTTTCAAAAGGAAGCATTGTGTTGTGGTGGGGACTTGGCAACTGTATAACTACAGTAGAAATTCTAGGATTTTTTTAAAGGGCAAATTTACAGGTGCACAGACATTCCTTTCCTAGCGGCACGATTTGTCCACCAGGAAGCGAACCTGGGCGAGCAATTGAGAAGGCAATGTGAACGGAGTATCATTATGCGATCGCGTCTAACAGTTGACGACTGAGCTTAAGCACCCGGCAAATTCTATTTTTTATTTCCCCATATGGTTCAAAGAAAAAATTGGGAGACCCTTGAGCTTCACCTTTAAGAGTTGAACATGATGGCGATATTCTGTTTCTAGTGCGTACTTGAAACACTTAGTATATGAAATCTTCTCAAACTTGCTATGCACCCGCTACATGACCTTAAGAATGCAGTAGCGATTGTGCCTTACGCAGTTGGTGAGGGGGCTTTTAAACTATGAAGTCATTATTATAATCTCATGTCCTGATGACCGATGGCAACGTATGCTTGTATCACGCATTATAACGGCAATATTTCATACTGTATTGTGAAGCATGTATACAAGACGCGTGTGTTTGTAAAATATAGAAGTTACTTTCACTGCATTTCGAAGCAGAGGAAGTGATTTTCACTGTATTCATAAGCAGAGGCAGGGCTGTGTGGTGAAACATCTGCTTGCCACAAAAAAAGACCCAGGTTCGATCCCCACTCAGATCCGAACTTTATTACTCATTTTATTTGCATCTTTTTCAAATTTTTTTTTTGTCCACGCATAGAATACGATTTTTCACTCACAACTAACGATGCCAACGTTGACACAGACGCCAGAGTTCCTGCAAAACGAGCTCTCTAACTCTATCGCGTTAATAGGGTTTCTCTTTTTATTCTGCAGTATGGAGAGTCAAGAGCCCACTGTCGAATGAATGAATTTCCCTGTCTCTTTGTTTTCGGCATTACTGAGAACGACAACACACGGGCAGATTACCAGACCGCTGAAATACGAGAACAAAGGGCTTCCTCTCATTGACTGGGTCTAATCGCGTTGGGCCAATTTTTTCCCAGTAGGTGAGCACCTTAAGTTTGTTCCTTACTCAACATACAAAACAAGATCTGCATGAACATCACATTTTAACACAATCGCATTAAACAGCTTGTTTTGCATAAATTTCAGTGTCAAAATTGGCATCATAGGTTGTGAACTAAAATTAACCTCTAAATATTGCGAAAGATTCAAATAAAATGAATAATAAAAAATTTTTTAGCTCAAGCGAGGATGAAACCCTGGTTGTCTGCGTAGCCTGCAGGTGTTCCACTACAGAGCCATGGTATTGCTTGAAACCGCTATAGAATGTCGGAACATGAATGTCATGTGGTGGATCAACGCATGTAACATTGCGTGGCAGAGGCATAGAATTGTGTCCGGCTTCAATGAATTGCCCAACCAGTGGATGTTTTGAATGCTTGCCCATTACAAAGCACTCAAGACATACCGTATCTAATCATCATCAGCTACAAAAGCATCATTAAAGTGAGCAGCTGCGTAGGCTCACATGTTGCCTTATGGATGCGTCATGGGTTTTTCACTTATAATTACACACAAAAAAAAGAATTGCTATTGTGAGCAATTAACAACTGTACTTACAGTAGAAATTCTGGTATAGTTTGAAACGGCCAATATTACACGCACAGTTGTTCGTCTCCTTATGCAACAGTTGAGGCACGCACCAAGAATCGAAGCCAGACTAGACACTGAGGAGACAGTGCACGAGGGGCCCCGACTATGCTATCACATTCAATTCTTGAAGGCAAAGCTCAAACATCCGCCGAGTTTTTTTTTTTCTTTCTTCTTTTGCTCTTTCCTCTCTCCTGATGACTCACTGCAATTTTGTATTGGCCAACTGCTTGCACTATATCAGCACGGCAGTGTACTGTGGCTGGTGCCTTACATTTCTCTGCTGCTAGCTGTTGTTTTCCAGATGGTAGTTGAAAAAGAGGACTATGCTGAACCTCAAAGACTTCTTAACAGTCAATGTTGCCCAGTAATATAAACAATAGTCTCAAACTCCCCTCGAAAGCAAAATTTGACATTAAATAGCAATAACTGAGGCAGTTATTTTGAAAATAAGAAATAAATTTTAAGAGCTCGTTTTTATTTCTTAGACAATGTTAATTAGAACTAACAGACAAGAATGCCTAGAGAAGTAATGGGGATGTTATTTATTGTAATTATGACTTAAATGAGAAGAAAGAGGACGAAAAGCTAAGCCCACTGGCTGGAATTGAGCTTGCGATATTGAAATAATGCATCTGAAGCATTGCATGCGTTATTACAGACACTGGTTGAGTCCCTGCCAGTGACAAGTAATCTTTTCGTCCACTTTACTGTATTTATATTTAGTCATGATTACTACAAATAACCTTCCTGATTGTTTCCTAGGCTTTCTTGTCTGTTAGTTCTTTTGTCTGTGTTAGTTGATGTGAATTTGAGACCCCTGCTGCTTTAGAGAAAATCAACAGATGGCTCATACTTTTCTATATGTGGTGCGATAATAACGCAGTTTGCACTGAAGCCATTAACTGAATGAAATCCACCTCACCTGCTGCAGCTACCGCGTTTTCTTACACCAATGTTTCGTCCAGTTATGCCAAGCTGCATACTAAAAAAATGAGTTGCTAGCCTTGCTTTGTATAGCATTACAAGTTGTTGCTATCGCATTCATTGCTTCGCTCTTGTGGCAAAAGTGCGATTTTTTTACCAGACAGCATTGCCTTTCTTGGAGAAAATTTTAAAGGGTATAAGAGTGTCGTAAATGACGAACAAGCTTAGAACTTGTCACTTACAGCACCACGAATGTCAGCCGGAATTATGGCCTTTCCTGCGATGTGGGCATCAAGCCTCCTTCGGGCTTCAGCCAAAACATCTGGATCCTTGAAACGAGCGAGACGGTCGATTACAGTGCTCCTCAACAGCGTAGCCAAGTGACCTTGAAGAATATTTCACATCATATTTAGCTGAAGTAGTACTTGCTTAGACATGCACAGCTTTTATATTGTACTTATGTAGTTTACATGAAAAGAAAGAGTCACAGGTAATAAAAAACACATGATAATTTCAAAAACCAAAACATTTGTGATTGCAACTACATATATGCTTGCCTCATATATGCTTGCCTCAGTAAACGAAAATCTGTTAAACGGAACTGCTTCTTAAATGAAATATGTGCTTCTGATGAGATTAGTTTCGTACTTGTATTCTCCACCCTTGTTCATCTCACAGTAAAAGGAAATACTGCTAAATGAAACATATCTTCCTGGTCCCTTGAAGTTCCGTTTAATAAGAGCCTACTGTATATGTAAGTGCAAGTTACTGCAATGATTTTTGTGATGCTAATTTTAAAATTCCTGTATCCATATTGCAATGGCTTTTGTAATACAAATTTCAAAACTGATGCATTCATTCGAAGTTTCAAATTAACAAAGTAACAAGCAACTTTATTAATAGTACCGTATACACTCATGTAAAGGCTGCACTTTTATTTTATTTTATTGGGGTGCGGCCCTTTCACGGCAGTGTGAAATTGGGTTCAATTTTCGATTTATGTATAGGAAAACCTTTACCTTGGTTGATACAGTGCACACGAGACAATGATGAAAAACAAACACAGACAGGCACTATGCTTCTGTGAGCATCTTCATCTCGTGTGCGCTGTTTCAACCACGATGAATGCATATCAACTCGCTCGAACTTCCATTGTTATGAAAAAAACCTATTTAATCGTGCCATATGTATGCCTACCGATGGGATATCTGGCATCTAGCTGCAGACATCCTCGCTAGATGTCTTCATTGGTACTGCTGCTCAAGCTCGGCTCCTCGTCGAGCAAGAAAAGCGACAAGTTCGCCCAGATAGTGCTCCGCAAACGAAGCTCACAGGTAGCGCCGTATCAAGAAGCCGCAGTACAGCTATTGCCATCTGGTGGCTCCTACGAAACGTACTGTACACGAGACGTGACGAGGCTGCCGTTTGCTGGCACTTTTTTAAAATTTGGAGCGCCAAGTTGGGGGGGATCGGCCCTTACACGAGCGTAGCCCTTAGTCTATTATAATACGGTACATGAATCATAAATCGTAATGTTTAGTTACAGTGAAAGTTAATAATCTGGCAGGAACACTAACGTGAGGCACAAATGTTGACATTTCTCGCGTGAGAAATAATGCTGCCACTTTGAAACGTAGATCCTGATACCAAGTATGCCATGAAATCTGAATGCAGCACATTGCCTAAGAAGCCTATGCCATTCTTTTGCCAGCAATACTTGCTGTACGCATGAGTATCTGATCAAATCAATGTTATAGTATGCAATTATCAACGCAGCAACCCATTTTTAAACCAGCACTGCTCCTGGTCAGCCCAAGTAATAATTCAACTAACACTCATAATTCACCTGATATGCAATGTGGTTGCAGCATACATGGGTGAAAAACTTACTTTCGCATATATTTTTTTTTATATATATCAAGGCTGCAATGAACCCAGTAGTGCCGATGCAACTATATTAACTGTACTTGTTGCTCCAGCACAGTTCGTTACTTCTAACAAATTGAGCCCGAAGTTATTTAGTTAGGCCCGAATATTTACTTAAGCTTGTGACATTGCACAAAACTACAAACCCACCAACCCAGATATAGAAGTCTCACAGCCAGAGCTGAGTCAGCACCAATTGCACTATTTACTGTCAGACCATCTACACCGCTGGTGTTTAACACAGATGCATTACAAGAAAGAAAGACCCTACAATGCTGTGTTTACAGTTTATAAAAACTAACTTCACTTCGCTGCATCATACATCACTGAGCTTCGGCAACTATTGCAATCGGGAACGACGAAGCTTTTGCAAGGCAAAGTGCATACGCCGTGTGAATGCGTACACACTATCTTTAGGGTCTAACCTAGCCTAAACACCAAGCTTGTAACCCCGTTCTGTTCATTTTCTATGTGTAACTTTGACAACTTTATGTTAAGTGGACAATGCACAAGCCAAAGCGCGTGTACATTGTGCACTGTCACAAAGGCAATAGCATACCTCCAATCTTCGCGCTACACCTTCAGAAATCACATCGGGGTTACTTTGGCTACTTAGATGGACTACGTTAGCACCGCGCGATACATTGAATTTCTTAAGAATGACTGCCCACGACAGACTTGATTAATCCAAACGAAGCCATGTTTCACTAATCTACAGGAAATAATTACATGTGGTATAGTTGGAAATTAGTCACAACAATGTGGTATATTTCAGCAGCTATGTAGAGCAACAGAATAAGCTCCCAGACATGCTCACAAGAATACTGCTTTGCTAAATGAACAAGCAGGTAATACGAGGCCCAGGCCATGGCTATGGACTGTCACAATATTAATCCATTTCAGGGCAGCTTAAATGTTTACAGAGAACTTACTTTCATCAGGTTTGGGGTCCCAGCCTAGCTTGCTGAAAATGCTGGCTAGGAGCCGTCGGCCGTAGACGTGCAAAAGTGGCTGCATGTCAGTATGCGAAAGCAACTGATTTAGTTTGCCCAGACATGAGTTGATGGAGTTCCAGACAGTATAGTTGTCTTCTTCCACATAAGCCTCCATCAGGCGAAGGATATCAACAGTCGATTTGTGGCCACTTTGCACCTGGAGTGATATTAAATGACAGCAAGCTTAAGTGCAGAACTTATACTTAGTTTTAGTACTTACAAGAGTATCCCACCAGTGCAGCAACTATCATTCCCAGCACCACAAACAGCCCTGCATTCATAAGCGGGATGCCTTGGTTTTCAAAGCACTTTTTTTCTCACTACAACAGGTCAACCTAGTCTACACAACCACCATATTATGACCTATGCATGATACACAAATTGTTAGAGCGGATAGAATGCAGGGGTGTTTATTTGGTGATTTAGCATGTTGCAGCCACTCCACTGTTGTTTAAACAGAAGTACAAACCGGCAGTAAATGCGGACATGATACTTTAAATGAGAAATCGACAAACAGTGAAGTGATGCCTGTACCTTCAATTAATTACGGCAATTCGCTGTTCTTTGCCACCAAAGAATGGCAGTAGCCATGCAAGTGTGCTGTATGAGATTATACATTAGTAACAGATTGAAATCCTGGAAATTATAGGAATGCTGAATCACAGTTCAGTAGCATTTTGTGTTCAAGAAATCAGAAATTATCAGTATCCTATAGCATGAAGTGCTATGAAAACATTATCTCACACAAGAATTTTGTTTTCCCAGGTTTCAACTTTTGTACTTTTTTGGTCTAATAAGATAAAAACAAGAGAACTGTAGTTGAAAATATGTATTAATGAATGCAATGAATGCACATGTGCATGTAGAAGCATAACTTGCTTACAAGAGCGAACAAGTCACTCTGAAGACCCAGCCGGTCCAATGGAGGCAAAGTCTTGTTTTCCACAGCAGGGATCAGCTGAGATAGCATTTCAGAACTGTACAAGGTTCTGTAGCAGCCAACAGTTCCAACATTGATCTGAGGAAATGCAGAATCGGCAGACATGAGAATGTCAAGGCCCCTCAGACACATAACTCTAACCACTCACAGTCTATCTGCACAATGCAAAAAAGCAAAAAGCAATAACATTCACAAGATGGAATGATCAATGTGCTGGTACCAAAGAAAAAGGTGTACTGCTATCATGGGACACAAGCGTCACAGGATACCTTTTTGATGAGGGGGGAGGGGGTATTCAAGCATAAAGCTATTGTAAACGAGATTGAAATGCTTAAACACCCTTCATGACACCAGAACATCCAAGACGGAAAGGAACACACATAAGCTAGAGTGAACTACAGCATTATACAAAAGGACAAAGCAGTTGGAAACGTTTCTGCAGTTGTGTTGCTAGAAGTGTACAAGTACAAAAAATATTGGATTCTCATTACAAACAAGACATGAAAAACAAAACTACACATCTTTTCAATTTTTATGTTAACATTCATTACAGAAAAATATTATGCTTTACTAATGCTATTATAAAGACAGCAAAATATTATACATCAATTTAAAACTAAGTGATTATACTTTTCGAATGTATTACATTATAAAAGTTATATTAACATATTATATGCAAAGATATTTATGAAAAATTATTTATTGAACATTACATAGAATGTTTCTCATGTGCCACTAGCATGAAAAAAAACAATGAAAATATTCTTAATTATTTAACATGTTTGCTCAACAATGCCTAGGTTTATTAAAAAAAAATTGAATGATTTAGCTTAGAAAGCATACAAGTTATCATTTCTTTCATCTGCAGAGTGAAAACTGCATTATTTTATCAAATTCCAAGGTTACATTTTTTCACTCTGGAAATTTTTCAAACACAGCAATACAATGAATATCATTTAAAAAAAGAATAAATTTTCTTTTTAGACATAGGAAGTTTGATGTCATCAAGGGAGTGTCGGTGAACGGCAACAACAAAAAAACAAGCACTTTTCGTATCTAGCGGAAAGTGAAAAAAGCTTTCATGGCCCGTAGAATGGGGCATTCCTGGAAATCAAACTCTCCCGGACGGAGTTCGTTAGACAGCAGCAGGCTACACATTTGGCAGTGAACGCAGGTCTGATGCAGGTGAAAGTGAGCTGGCAAGTGAAAATGGAGTATCGAGCTCACATTTCGAAGTGAGCAAGCACTGGATCTAACATTACATGCGCCGCGCCTGATTTCCAGTTCACTGCGAACCGCGATTTCTTGAAAAGATCCCTGAATCTTCCGAAAAGCTTCTTGCGTTTTTTGAATGCTACATTATTTCTTTGCGCAAATTGAACATTCTGCTGGGGCTAATCAGCAGGGCCAATTAAACACCAGTGTACCTGGACATGCCATCGTCCTTCGCCATTCACGAAAAAGGCTCAAAATAAGTCTGTGTTCCTACTTCCGGCAATGAGAAGACTCAAGTCACAGTAATGTTATCGTGCACGGTAAACAGCCACAAGCTCCCCCCCCTATGTAGTTCTCAAGCACAAGACATTGCCGAAAGGTGAGGAGATGCCGAATAATGCAATCATAAAATGCCATGATAAACAATGGATGAACAAGGACCTCGTCTTCGGCTGGACTAAGGCCACGTGGTGTGAACTGCCCGGCACACAGCAGCAGTCCTTCCTATCCGTCGTTGTGCTGGTCGAGTTTTATTGCCATTTGGCCAATTCTATGCAGAGGCTCAGGACCAACTCATTGCTGTCCAGCAGGCCGAGAATGCCAGCACAGCCCAACCCAAGGACTCCTTGCCGCCATTTAAGCGAGGTTGCCCCCCAACCTCACCAATAAGCCGGCAACCAAAATAAAAATTATTTTTCTCTTCTATCCTTTTATGTTTGTTGATAAAAAAAAAAACTCTTACCTTGACCCACTCGGAAGATGACACACCATCAAGTATGAGTACCGATGAAGCAGAGTCCAGCAGGAATTGCTTCACGATCGTGTTGGGTGCTTTTGAGGTTGTGATGCTGATTGGAACCATCCAGAGAGAGCCATCCTCTGAAAAGCAGTTTTTGCTTAGCCATAGACATAAACACGAGCCTCAAAGCACAGACACATACTCGAGACTTTGCCATCTGCGTTGAACTTCTCCTGGGTGAACATGAGCACCCGGTTAGCCCCATCCTGTTTGCTTGTTACCTACACCGGAAGAAGAATGCACACATGCAGCCGACAGCTGGCTACACTAATGGTGTGGTCAGCACACTAGCTGCCATTCTTGCTTACAGATATCACAGGGTAGCCCTTCTGTTTAACCCAGGTGTTCATGATGGCCTCCACAGGGACGTGACAAACTTCACCCAGGCAGTGCCACAGGTCCTCCGTCGTTGTGTTACCGTACTTGTGCTTGGTCAAGTACAGGTTCATGCCTTCCCTGAATTTCTGAAAAACGAAAATTGAAAAACTGTTTCTTATATTATTCACAAGAATAGTGCACACAAAATTTCAGTTGGGCCTCTGGCTTCACCTCAGCAGATGGCAACTCGGGCAAATTTCGGGGTAAAGGGAATGCTATTCATAGCGTCCTAACCAACATTACTATGTAACAAATACCAGGTAAGAGGGCAGATCAAAGTCTTTACCCTTTTTTTTAAAGCCAAATTATGGCAGTGAATGTGAAGTCAACAAATGCGAAAGCAGAAAAAATATTCAACTATAATCTAATAGAAATATTAAACTAATCTAGTTGAATGTCCCAGTACCTATTATAAAGTGCAGTAAAGTTCTGAATGATGTCTGTTCTTCACACTTTCATAAGAACATTCCCCTAATAATTCTGCATTTAACAAGGCATCAATCTCTCGCCAATGAACCCAATTATCATCGATGTAGTTGGTATCGATAGGCTGGTTGTCAACTTGAGAAAGTGTCTTCATCAGCTGGTCAAGATTGTATTTCCTCAAAAATTTTGCAACCGTATGCAAACATACTTCCCTTTACTATTGTAAAAATTTTTTTGAACAGTTACTACAGACGTTGCCACCTGACTTGAAGGCTGGGAACGTGCTCCCAGTGCGTATTTCCAAAGATACATATAATCCCCTAATACCTACCACCCAATATCATTAACACCCATCCCAGTAAAGAGGCTGGTTGTCAACTTGAGAAAGTGTCTTCATCGGCTGGTCAAGATTGTATTTCATCAAAAATTTTGCAACCGTATGCAAACATATTTCCCTTTACTATTGTAAAAATTTTTTTAACAGTCACTACAGACACTGCCACCTGACTTGAAGGCTGGGAACGTGCTCCCAGTGCGTATTTCCAAAGATACATATAATCCCCTAATACCTACCGCCCAATATCATTAACACCCATCCCAGTAAAAATCTTAGAACGCATAATATACTTGCACCCCACCAAAATCCTTGAGTGTAATTCCTCTTCTAATACCTGATCAGCACAGATTTTATAAAGCAGTTTCATGTGGAAACAGTTGCTATGTTTTGCTAACGCCAGATTTATTGAAGGGCCCGATTTTCACTCAATCTGTGTTATGTAGGTTAATTTTGGGGTGTTCACAAACAAGCTGGAAAAATTTCAGTGCATTTCAGCAAGCAGTTAGCTAATAAGTATTTTTTTTAAAAACACAAGGTCCCATAAAAGTTTGACAAACTAGCGCACTCAGGGACCGTGACGTAACAAGCCTCTTGCTTTGTGAGCATCTGTATTACGGCCACCGATTTTGTTTCATGGTCAGCTGCCCATACAATGGAGGCGCTGCAGCTTTATTAAGCCTGGCATTTAAAACTGAGAGGTTTTCAGCGGCTGAAACTTCGATAGCAGACGACAGCTACATCCACGAAGCACACGACGTCCCTCATGCCATGGAAAAATTGAATTGGCTCGGAATGTGTAGTATATGTTGGGTAAGCAATGATAATGACAGTGAAAAAGCTTGCAATTGTATATTTTATTTATAACTGGTGTCTAAATATCAGCTAGCTGATGACACAAAGCTCCGACGGTGTGACCGGGCGAACCAGACACAAACAGAAATCGCATCAATCGTAGCTCATCACTACTCATGAGCAGAACTCCGTGCTGCCGCATCCCTTCCTATTCCATGTGACACCCCTCCATGAGCGGATAATTCAGAAGAGTTAACCAGGGGTGCAACAGCTGGAATACAATTTGGAGCAATTTTTGGAGCAGGTTACAGGGATAAAACATGCATTTTTACATCATGAAATACAAAATTTGGAGCAGTATAAAAAATAAGGCTTACATTTAGAAAAGTATATGTGTATACCATTGAACATGACCTAAATCGTGCAGTGTGAGCATGAGCACTGCTATCTCATTTCAAGTAGTATTTTGAAACATCCCACTGAGCAAACAATGATAAAGCCCATATTAGCATTGGCTACACCTGTCAAATCATTTGACAGGCTCTGCGAATTTAAATAAATATCTGCCAAGATCGCGACCTTGAAATTCAGGAGATTCGTAAAACTGAGGAATAGGGGTGGCAAGAAAAAGCGCACAATTCAGTTTGTTTTTTTAGCGAAGCGGAAATGTCATACATTGCTCCAAATTATTGCCAGTAGCTTATTTAGAGATCAGTGATTATACTGGTATTTAGAATTATACGGCATACAAACACATGACCGAAAAAAAATGTGCAGTGTCCCGTGACCAGTACTAACAGCACCTTCCACGTCTTAATACACTTTTCCACAAGGCACTGGTGCACTGCGGTGAAGGTGACTTAAGCAGCATTCTCTGCACAGGTTAGAACTACAGCCAAGAAATTTTCTAAGCGCTACATCTCCCCCCCCCCCCCCCTCCCACCTTTTTTTTTTTTTTTCTCTGTTGGGTTAGGTGCCGCTTTGGCTTGCTTGCAAGGCGCGTTCGACCAGGTAAAGTAACAACGGCGCACGCCCGTTGGCCCGGAGACTGTAAAGGATATCTATTGCCAGGACTGTGGCCGGGATGACAAAACTTTCAAGAAAAAAAAAAATGCTTTATGTGCCACTGCTAAGGCAATCAACATATAGTGGCTGGCAACGCCCGCATTCGCAGCACATACACCTTGTTCACACGAGGAAAACGCGGCATACACTTCCAGCTTTAGTTCCTATTAAGCCATAGCTGTGTGTTCAGGCTAGCAAATTTACATTTCCGGCAAAGCGTTGGTGGCCACAGCACGCATTTTCGTCTTGAAGTTTCGCCATCCCGCTGATAAGTATCTGCTGTATCTGCTGCGGTCAGTGGGCCAATGGGCAATGCAGCGTTGTTACTGTATCTCGTCGATCGCGTCTCGCGAGCGTAGGGTAGGACCTTAGAATATTTTAAGTACATTCTAGGCACTATAGTCGGGGTCTGCGTGCTTGGACTGGTGGCGCAAACTGCAGGTGACCGACATAGCCTGCATTTCTGGCCGAAATTAGCGTACCAGAGAAAATTTGAAGCTGGCTGGGCATTTTGGCACAATGTAGGGCGATTTCAGCAAATTTCACGGTTTTGGCGCAGCTTGGCGCAACAATAGGGAATTGTATCAAATTGATGCAACTGGCACAGCTGTTGCATCCCCGGTGAACTCATTTGTAGTATAAAAGGAAGGGCTGTAGGCTGCTGGAGCATATGTTACAGCTAGGACCACCTTTCACGCTTTTCCAAAAAACGTGAACTTTGAAAGCTGCGGGTTATCAGAATAAGGTGAAAGGAATCTGAGGTATCAAAGAGGGTACGTGGTGCTAAGGTATCAAAGAGCCTACATGGTACGAATATAAACGCAATTGGTACCTCTTCACCTGAATAGTGTTGAAACTGAAAAAAATGTTGAATCCTGACACAGTGACTTCAATATTCAGCTCCTGCAAGCACAACAGCGGGAAGCTCCGACCAGCGTTTGGAGAAGTGTCAGCGACACGAGGTTTCCAAATCAGACTGCTTTAGTGCAGTGTAAAATGCTTGCGTTAATGCATTTCGCTTGCTTAATTATAATAGTGTAACACTAAATTACAACAGTTTAGAGGATATTATGGCGGCACCACAGGAGCATTTGTCATCAGAAAGGTGCAAAATAAAAAAAAAAGAATAACACACTTGGTTGCATCTTATCAGCCAACTCTGCCTTTTTTCCCCACTGAATCTGAAGTCAGCATCAAAATTCTAGCTTTCAAGGGTGTTTTGGAGCAGTTGGGAGCAATTTTCATGATTTTTATGCTTTTGGAGCAGCTCGGCACAAAGAAACAGAAATGTATAAAAAATGCGCAATATGCGGAGCTGTCTCACCCCTGTGGTATGTAAAAGCTTGCAGTAAACGCAAGCATCTTATCGGCGTCAATACGCATCACAACTTAGAGAAGCACTTTCTCGAATACAGTTAAACCTGCTAATAACGAACCTCCATATAAGGAATTCCTCAATATAACGGAAGTTTTTGTATTCCCCGTTGTTGCCCCATAGAAGCACATGTATTTGTGACTTCTATGTTTAAAGTAACAGAGGGAGACAACCTTGATATAATGAACTTTTCCCCGGGAACAATTTAGAGATGTTTTCCCGGATTTTGGTACGAGCGTGTATCTTCCACAGGTGCCCTGCCACCGCTTCGGCGGCGCGCATGGCGCAGCAGACGAGAGCGAGCACTCATGATTGCGCAAAGGGGAGCGCGAGCCAACATAGCCGCCACTCGCGCATGCACGGATGTACCCGTTCTCCCTCCAAACAAACAAACAAACAAACAAAAACAGAAAACACTTTTACGTTGGCAGTGCCATGCTTTTAGTAATGCGTGACATATGTGGAGCTGCCCTGCACATGTAGGGTGCTTTACCGAATAGTTTTCCGCGGTATCTGTGTAGTTCACTTTTCGTTTTTGACACCGTGCGCACGTACATGGTTTCACTGCTCGTGCATGGTGTGCCCCCAACGACATTCAACTTTGCTTTTTTTTTTTTTAATGCGGACAACCACGTAATCACCACCGAGGAGATGTCAGATTAGGTGCTCATGGAAGCACTCCGAGACCACGGTGATGATGGGTCTTCTTGTCTTGCGCTTCTGTCTTTCATCACACCGCGAGTTCACAGGCTCATAGCTTACGCGATTAGCTGATTAGTTCTGGCAGCAACACGATGGCGGGTTGAATTCAATGCAATGAGCGCAATATAAAATTGTAATGTTATACGAAGTAAGACTGGTAGCCAACTCTTTTGGATCCGATATCGCAGAACTACTACAAAACGCTGATGTGAGCAAATACGGCTGCTCCAGAGACAAGTGCTCTTTTTACACAGTCTCTTCGCGTTGAAAGCGCACTGATACTTACCGAGATAGCAAACGCGCCAGCGATCCCGACCGCCCTTAAAATCAAAGTTCATAGTTGCTACTCATGCTTGTTCAAGACGGGTAGTTTCCTTTCTGTTTGAGCATTCGACGGCCGTTCAAACACGCGGGCGATGTTATCTCATGGGCCTTCCAGGTTATTCGATTTCGGTTATTCCAGACTTATTCGATCTCTGCTTCAGCAATGCTCACATGCTTTTACCCGCTCGTAAAAGTTGCGATGCGCCGGGGCTTGTTATGAATTCGATCTTGTTACAAAAAATGGCGGCAACGACAAAAACCCGCCGAGAGTGTGCATATAATTACTATCCCAGTAGTAACGCAGTTTTTACCGCTAAATAAGTGTTGTGTTTTGGGTTAACTCTGCCTTCAGTCTCCCTTTTATTTAATTTGTGCATTTAATTTTGGAATTTTGGTACCGAGTCTGCATGTAATGAAATCCTCTTTACAGCAAATTTTTCCAGGACTTTATCAATTTTGTTATATCCAGTAACTGTACGAGTCCAAGTCACAGAGAGGGGCAGAACCAAAAAAAGTGTTGGTGATAGTGGTTAGAAGAGGAAGAAGGCGCCTAATTTCTGCAGCCCGTAGGGGGCATGGTGCAGCACCTGGAAAAAAAAACAAAGGATGAGGAGCTAACAGGCGGCTGAGGCGCCATCGAGGGGGAAAATCCCAAGGTGTAAGGTGTTTATGTTGCCACCCTATAGTTCCGCAAGATGGATACCATGGCATAGACCCGTGGTTACGTGAAGAATAGAGAAAAACTTCGGAGCAACACCATCTATATAAGGACAGAATTATAGTAGGTGTGTTGCTTATAAACGTACCATGCTTGCAATAAGGCAAGTCTCTTTAAATTACTGCTTTATTGTTAAATTCAAAGGTCTGTCTTACTAATGTTTGAAGTTTGAAAAACAGCACATCGACGAAAATGTTCTCTATTTTCGAAAAAAAGACGCGATTCCATAACCATTCCACTCCATAGAAAGTGCGCTTAATTCCATTCCCATTCTATTTCTCTAAGCTTTCTTGCCATTCCATTCTGGGGTCGCAAAAATGTGGAATGATTCCGGCTTCATTCCAATTCAGGAACGGCAACTCTGCAATGCTGCTAACAACGCGAATCGTATGCTTGATTATCTGCATCATAATGTTTCCTGGGTTCCATCATCACTTAAACTCTACAAAACCTTGGCTCGATCGAAATCAGAGTTCACATGCGCAGTGTGAGATCCAACTCATGCCACTCTTATCTTATCTCTCGAAGCCATTCAGAATTGCGTAGCACGTTTCATCTCATCGAATTACTCCCATCATTCCAGCGTCACATTTATGAAGAACGTCCTAAACATGCCTGACCTTTCATTGTGCCACAAATTGTCTCGCCTCAACCTTTTTCACAAAATTTATCATTATAACAGCCATTTGAAGGACGCCATTTCATCCACCTCCTCACACATAATCAAAAATCAATCGTCGCTATAAGATGGGCCTACCATCCTGTCACACCATATTGTGCCACGACTCCTTTGTTCTTAGAACTGCAGCCTGAAACCACCTTCTCACCTTCATCGCCTGCATGATAGACAAAACAGACTTCAAGCTCGCCATAGAAGATGACCAGTAACTCCTTTTTGTTGTGCCTTCGGGCCTTGAAAGTGTTTTTAATAAATACATAAATAAATAGATATCTATTCCTAGCAGTGCACATTTCTTGGCATGTCTTAGCCTAACCATTTGATCAGGAAAGCTGGTACTCATCTGATCAGAGTGCAGAACACACAGACGAGAAGGCAATGCCATTCTTGATTGCCTTAGCATGCGCCAAATTAAATTTAGAGAAGCCGCTTCTTAAATTTTATTCAGGGCATTCATAAAGAACAGCACTGACCTTTCATTGACAGCCTTATCAGCAAGTAAGTCTAAGGCACAGCCCTATGCCTGCTGAAAATGGTGGTTGTGCTTTGCAAACACATAGCATATGAGCAACCAAGTGCAATTTGTTTTCTGTAAAGCAAGGAATGAATTCCAGAGAAATAAATCTATAAGGAAATGCAACCCCCACATAGGGAGCTACAAGGCAGCCATCTGACGGTGGTCTCGCAGTCAAGTATACCACAGGGACATCTAAAATTTAGAGCTGAAATGGGACATGTGTCTTCAGCAGTGTGGGGACTATATATAAAAAAACAGTGTAGGGCCCAGTACATAGAATAGCATCTATAATTGTAATAGCCTGTATGTACCTTACTTTGGCTGATAAAAATAGAGGCGAAGAATTCTCGATTTGCCCCCAGATAATAAAAGTTGTTCCCTGTCCTTTTAAAAAGGTTCAAATGATTTGTAACACGGCTCCACAGAAAAGTTCAAATAACTGATTTCTCAGGCTTATAATTTTGAGAAAGCATCAATTGTATAGTAGTACCAATTTCTGCAGCCATGGTAACCTTGGGTCACATTGTTTAATGAGTGCTGTGAGAAGAAAATATAGCGAGTAGGTCAGTGGGTGGCACAGAAGGCCACTGTTGAACAAGTATAACACCAAATTATAACCAATTTTACAATACGGAAGCTTGTTCCAAGACGCATACAGCATAACTGAAAAACTTACATCATCCCCAATGTAGTTGTGGAGCATTCTGATAACTGAAGCACCTTTGTGATATGAAATATCATCAAAGATTTCATCTATCTCACTGGGATGTCGTACAGGCACCTGTAAAAGACATGCTCAGGTAAAGTCAACTACATAAGCCTTGCTTACCTCAAGTAATGGTTAAAAGAATGACTCTTAGAAAATATGATGACGTACTTACCAGGTATTTGATACCATATGCCTGGCCTTAAATACTGAGAAAATCAACCTTATTCTAATACCAAAGTACCATGAAATGTACCAACACTGCATAGCAATGATGCCAGATATGATGTTACACAGAAACGAGTGCTGTGAGCATTTCTACGAGCATTATTACGAGCCAGTACATTATGATACACTCACAACGTGGGTACTGATGTTTGTGCCTAGAAACAAGTACTGTAATTACTCGAATCTAATGCGTACGTTTTTTCCGGTAAAGAGAGTTCATAAATAGCATGCGCGTTAGAATCGAGTACGAAAAAAAAAATGAATAGGTCATTCTATTGCCATCGGCACTTCCAAAATGGCCACCCCCTACGTGCGTCGGCATGGCGCGTCGGCCATTTCTGCCTATGTGTTTCCCATGTGCGGCACTTCGTACGTGTGCTGAGGAGTTAGTCACCTTGTAGTGCATTAGCATCGACAGCATGGAAGGGCCGACTCCAAAAACTCAACGAGTGCACCACGATGCCGCTTTTAAAAGAAAAGTCATCGCGTGTGCCGAAACGGACGGAAATCAGGCCGCATCGCGGTCGTTCAGAGTTCCCGAAATGTGCATGCAGGACTGGCGGAAACAAAAGCAGAAGATTGTTGACAGCAAAGATTCACGCAAAGGCTTCAGTGGACCACCGCAGGATCAGTTTCCGCAAATTGAAGAGATGCTCGGCGAGTATATGATTGAGCAGTGAGCAGCACAACGGCCCGTGACGATAGAACTGCTCCAAGTGCAGGCTATGCAGTTAGCCTTAGAAAAAGGGCTAATGCGGAGCCAGTTCAAAACGAGCAGGTGCTGGCTAACTAACTTTATGAAGAGGAAAGGCTGTTCCCTCCGAAATTGAACGGGCATATGCGAAAAGTTTTGCAGAGGAGTACAATGAAAAGCTTCACAGTTTTCAGAGGTTCGTCCTAAACTTGCGGCACAACAACGGCTACCTGCTTGGGCAAATCGGGAATGTCGATCAGACGCCTCTTTATTTCGACATGCCTGGCCCCACAACCATCAAGAAGAAGGGGGCAAAGGAAGTTTGCGTGCTGACATCGATCCACGGCAAAACTACAGTGACGGCAATGCTCTGTTACACGTTAGATGAGCACAAGCTTCCCCCGTACCTCATATTTAAATGAAAAACGCCCCCGAAATGAGTTGTTTCTTCAAGTGGTGTGATCGTTTGGGCCAGCGAGAAAAATGGGTGCACGTTGCAATTGATGTCTTACTCTTTTTTTTTCTTGGTGGAAATCGGGTGCGCGTTACAATCAAGGGCGTGGTAGAATCGAGTAAATACGGTACTGTTAAAATTTGTTTAATGAGACAGGCTATAACAAAACAATAGATGTAATGAGAAAATCACAATCCTAGGAATGGGTGAATAGTAAGTTTGAGATTCGAAGTAAATTCGAAGCAAATAGTAATTTAATCAAACAACTTCAAATCAAATAGCTCAGATAGTATGTATCACATATAAAAAAAAATTAGCACTTTTTGATGATTCAACTAACTTGCCTAATAAACTTCAAAACTGGAATTATAAAGGAATACAACTTTAGAAGTATGCGGCATTTCCTCCTCAAAGGAGGATGAACACATGTCTGCCCCAAAGGGCCTGCATTCCAGATGACGTCATAAGCACGATAGCCGGTGACTTTACCTTTAGAGAACATTGACGCATGCCTTAGTGGGACTATTTCTTTAGTCGCGGAGGCGGTTAGTATCTGGGCTCGAAATAACCACTTTGTCAGATGAATTTGGTGTCTATATACAATGTTGGCTATAATCGATGAGTTGAAGCTGAAATTACACCAACATACTTGAACTGGCGGCTGTGGACATGAAAGTACGAGCGTTACTTAGCTCTAAATTGTCTTTATCAATCCATGAGTACTGCACACTTAACCAAGAAGTGTGGTTTTGCAGCAAAGCAGGTTTCGCCTAGATAAGTAGCTTCACAGCACAACACTGCCAACTGCAGTGAAACCATATTTGCAGGGGGGTGCTATACAGTTAACTCTCACGTGTAGTATGAACATCGGTTTATTAAATATTTCAGAATAACGAACATTGAAAAAATCACCAGTGATTTCCTTAAGCATTCTATACAAAAATCTTTCAGTTAAGTGAACTTCTCAAAAGCAAATATTTCAGTTGAATGAAGTTGATTTGCAGAACCGGGCTCATTTCTAAAATCGATTCAAGCTTAAACTCTGCAGCACTGGCACAACCGATTAATGCCGCCCCCAAATCACTCAACCATCAGCAGTGGTGAAAGATCACTTGTGCATGCACCCCCGCCGAGGCAAAGCGTTGAGCGGCATACGAAAACAAGCCACGTGTGTTTCAGTACCAGTGCAGAGTTATCACATTTGGAAATTGACAATTTGGCAAGTGACAAGCAGGTGCGACTCCTCCTTTTTATCTCTGGAATGTGGTTACACTCAAGCCTCAATATAACGAACCCAGATCTAACGAAATATTGGTTATAACAAAGTAAATGAATAGTCTTGCAATAGATACAGTGTTAAAATATACCATCATAACAAATTTTTGGATATAACAAACTCATTTTCGTGCAAGATACAACTCTGTTATAATGAGGTTTGAGTGTATTTTATTGGGTACCACCACTGGCGAGCTGCTGTTTTATCCACTACACTTAGGCCTCGATATAACGAACCTGAATATGACGAAATGCTGGTTGTAACGCAGTAAATTAAAAGTAGTCTTGCAATATAGTGTTAGGAATAAACCTTTATAATGAATATTCAGATATAACGAACTGTTTTCGTTTAAGGTGCAACTTTGTTATAATGAGGTTTGAGTGTAGTATCTGCTTTGGATAAGGTAGTGCATAATACTTGCGGTAAATGCCCGTTGCAGATGCGATGAAATATTGGTTATGATGAGCTAATTGCAGTGGCTCTTCAATTTTGTTTTAACTAACTGCATCTAAAAAATTGACTTACATCACACTTGACAAAGCCAAACTGTGATTAAAATTTTCTGATCTCTAAATCAAATGTGCGTGTTATGGGGATAAAACTGCATCGGGTAACATTCATTCTGACTGCTTATGGGAACTTAATCAAACTGCACTTCGTGGAATCTCCAAGTTCCATGAAACCTAATTTCAAAACTCCTAATGCAATATCAGTGATGGGAATGCCTTGAAGAATTTTATTATTTATACAGAAGCCACAAGCTGACAAAACAAACACAAAAAATAAACGAAAGTGGGATTATTTACAGAAGCAGTGACATAAGATAGTAAAGGGTATTACACCAACAAGCTAGCTACAGCATGAAGTTCATAGCCATACGCACACAAACATCAAGGCTCATTACAGTAAAACCATGTTAATATTTATGTACATACACACAAACAACTTGCAGAGAACACGTATAACTACGCACTAAGCGTAGTATGCATTAACCACCAAGTACGTAAGTGTGCGCATGGTTTTCCATTGGGGGGGGGACAAAGGTTTGTTGCAGCACCTTTCCTCCTTATTATGGTTGCGCACAACGATTGGGGCAGCAGTGATTGGCACCTCAGTGCTCTCAGGTAGTCGCCGGCTATTAAAAGCCTGCAGTGGGCTTAAAACGGCAGGCACTATGCCACACACACGTAGGCTTTTAATCCGCGATAAGTCATACTGGCACAGTTTTAGGTAGTCACCACACTGCCTTTATTCTTTGCTGGTGGTAACCACAAAAGGCACTGCCGCAATCGTGCAGAAGTCATAATAATTGATCGGTAAATTCAGTGCTTCTGCAGCAGCACAAGTGTACAAGATAGCGACCATCACATAATATCTGCTCATGATGCATGATATCAACAGTAGTTTCAGTTCTTAAACTACATTGTGGCGCAGCAATGTCGCAAATTAGACAAAAAGACCCTTTTGAAGCAGTATGATGCAGTAATTTCCCGTTGGCACAGGTTGGCGCAAGTTTCCCACCTGTGTAGCATGGCAATTTATTAGGGCACTGAAGTCTGCCAATATATTTTTCCAAGGTTCACAGGGTTATTACCTTCCACGAATAACCAGTCACGTTAGTGCACTTTTAACACAAGGAGGAATACGTCACCTCAATAGGATGGCTGTTTTGCAATGCATCTAGTTCCATTGCTTGAGCGTAGCAGTCGGTAACGAACTGCGTCCAGATGTGGTACTTTGGAAACAAGTAATCCACACAGAGAAACTCGATGAAGGATGCAAAACCCTCATTGAGCCACAAATGAGTCCACCATTCCTATAAAAGGGTGAGAGATCCAGACGGAATTGAAGGTGCTGATACAAAAATGAGTAGCCATTGCAGCTGTACAAGTGAAAATGGTTAATAAAGCACTAAAAGTGGTGAATGCATTACTTTTATTAAACATAACCTGCATGGACCAGGAAAATGTGTTCCATTTAACAGAAGTTCCATTTACTGAGGGATGAACAGGGGTGCAGAATTCCGGTACTAAACGAATCATCCTGGAGGCAGCAGTTATGTTTAAGATTTCCATTTACTGAGAGTCTACTGTGAAATGAAAGTGTGAATTATAGTCGACACAATCTGGAGTTACGTAAACGTAGACCATACACCACCAAAACTTCTCCGACACGTCGAAAAAAGGGAAACAACATAGCACATATTCATTTTATGCAAGGTGAATTCTGGGATTTTTTTTTCCACAAAATTTGGCAACTTACATTTTTTTAAATATTTAATTCAAAACTATCATGTATTAGCCTACGCCTAGTTTGAAGGAAGATTTCTGATGACATAGGAGTTCTCCCAAACCTTTACGGATGTATTAAAGGTGAGCATAAGAATGTGTAAATATATGAAGAATAATAAAAAGTTGGGCCTTAATTTTTAAGAATTCTTATCCTCAGGCTCACAGCGCTGATAACTATTAAGAATGGAAGATCACCCTTTGTTTATTCCATGTGATTCTAGTATTATGCAAGTTTCCTCTTTCATGAATATTGGCTCAATAACAGCTTGTTGACTGCATTTAAAACGGCATCGAGGGCGTTAACGTGACTCTGAGTCTACAGAAACGTTTCTAATACTGACAACATTTATATATTTGGTCTAGCAGTCTGTGGCAGCATCATCTAGCGGCAAGGCACTTTTTATAACTTTCAAAAAGTGCTCTGAGGCTCCTGCAACATGGTAATTCATTGAGCTTAATTTCTTTTTCTTTTTTTTTTTCAGAAAAAAAAAATATTTTCTAATGTAGCGATCCAGTGGTCCACTACGAATTAGCTTTTTTACGCTTGGTATGAGTACACAATAGCAACACAGGTCAGTAAAAAGTACCGTAATTACTCGAATTTAACGCACACCATTTTTCCGCTTAAGCGAGTTCATAAATCGCATGCGCGTTAGAATCGAGTACGAACAAAAAAATTACGGTCAATCTATTGCCATCGGCAAATCCAAAATGGCCGCCCCCTACGTGCGTCGGCATGGCGCGTCGGCCGTTCCTGCCTATGTGTTTCCCATGTGCGCCACTTCGTACGTGTGCTGAGGAGTTCGTCATCTAGTAGTGCATTAGCATCGACGGCGTGGAAGGGCCGACTCCGAAAACTCGAGTGCACCACGATGCCGCTTTTAAAAGAAAAGTCATCGCGTGTGCAGAAACGGACGGTAATCGGGCCGCATCGCGGTCGTTCGGAGTTCCCGAAACGTGCGTGCGGGACCGGGGGAAACAAAAGCAGAAGATTGTTGACAGCAAAGCTTCACGCAAAGGCTTCAGTTGACCACAGCAGGGTCGGTTTCCGCAAATTAAAGAGCTGCTCGGCGAGTATGTGCTTGAGCAGCGAGCGGCACAGCGGCCCGTGACGACAGAACTGCTCCAAGTGTGGGCTATGCAATTAGTCTTAGAAAAAGGTCTAATGCGGAGCCAGTTTAAAGCGACCAGGTGCTGGCTAACTAACTTTATGAAGAGGAAAGGCTTTTCCCTCCGAAGAGGAACATGCATATACGAAAAGTTTTGCGAAGGAATATGATGAAAAGCTTCACAGTTTTCAGAGGTTCATCCTAAACTTGCGGCGCAACAACGGCTACCTGCTTGGGCAAATCGGATATGCCGATCAGACGCCTCTTTACTTCGACATGCCTGGCACCACAACCGTCGAGAAGAACGGGGCTAAGCAAGTTCGCGTGCTGACATCGGTCCACGGTAAAACTACATTGACGGCAATGCTCTGTTACACGTCAGATGGGCACAAGCTTCGCCCGTACCTCATATTTAAATGGAAGACGCTCCCGAAAGGAGTCGTTTTTTCGAGTGGTGTAATCGTGCGGGCCAGCGAGAAAAATGCGTTGCAATTGATGTCTTACTTTTTTTTTTTTTTTTCGCGGTGGAAACGGTTACAATCGAGGGCGCGGTAGAATCGAGTAAATACGGTACACTCTATGTGTTATGCAAAATGCAATCACAGCACCATAGAAACTTACCATGGTAACTAGATTGCCAAACCATTGGTGGGCAATTTCATGCGTGACAACCAGGGCAATGTTCTGTTTCCTTTCAGCAGATGTGTTCTGTTCATCAACAAGAAGAGCCGACTCGCGATGAGTCACGAGACCCCAGTTTTCCATAGCAGCTAGAAAAAAAGCAGCACAATAAAACTAAGTTTTACACTAGAGTAACAACCCTTAGCTCATATTAGAGTTTTATTGCTCGATAAAGCAAGCAATTTGGGCTCTAAGAGCTTGGGTAAGCGCATAGTTGTGTACCCAAGCAGACAGGCCTTAGTCGTGCTTACCTGACCTCAAGCCACAACAAGGTCACCCATGCTTGTACCTCCATAGCGTCTTATGACGAATGAATTGATCTGTGTTTTTTTTTTTCACATTTAGAATGTTAAGTGAGCACAGATGGTGGTGAGAAATCATTTGCTTCCAATAAAATATTTTTAATATGGCAGTGTTATCAACCCGAGGCAAAGACTTTCATACAGGTCAAAGTTGTGGCTGGAGCCAGCGCAAAACAATCAAACAGAAGGCTGGTCGTGGTACTACGACAAACTGGGAGAATTTGCAGCAGTATGACCAGCGTCACAAGTTTTTTCACATCAGCTGTTCATTTTCAACAAGCCTAGTCTTGCGTTAAGCTGCTTGACTAGAGGTGGCATTCTTGCTGTGGGTCGAGCCAGTGGAGCCATAGTGTTCTCGCACTTTTACACTCGGCCGGATGGATCTGGCCAGCATCAGCTTGCTTGCCTTGCAAGTACAGTTCCTGGAATCTACTATAGTGAGAGCAAGATGGTTGGTGTCATGGGTAACGTGCTCTGCTAGGAACTACTAAATTCCACTAAAAAGTCCGCAGTGGCAGCGATATTTTTGGCAGTGCATACGCACAGCCCCGGTGACCAAGGGGCACGCACATGTGCTTAGACCTTCATGCATGCGCAACCACTGCCCCGTCTTAGGTGCATAAGCCACATGGGTACCCAGTAATAAAACTCTACTATATGGAAGAACGTCTGTGTGTCACAGTAATTAACCCTTCAAGCACCACCGACGTTGTAGAACATCTGACATTCGTTTCACAGAATTTCTGATAACCCCATAAATTTTTCATTCTCTTCACCTTTGTGTGCAAAGCAAAACGAAATTCAAGATCTCTGAAGAGCTTGTGTCATCTGTTGTCTTATTTCTATAGAAGCACACTTTTATAATTTTTAAGATATCTTCAATTAGAAGCTATGAAACCACAAACTAGTGGTTGTGTCAAGGCGTTATTTGTACACCGAGCCAGAAACATCAGTTACATTGGGGCAGAACGTTTGTGTCCCCCCCCCCACCTGCACTTGTCCATGGGAAAGAGGAGACACTCCAGAATGACGAAAATACCAAAAGATCTTTTTAGACAATAAAATTGCAACATATACAGCAACTATATACAGCATTGCACGGGTCACCTGCAGCAAGGTCAGGTACAGCAATCAAGTCCATTTTTGGCAGTGGGTAGGCAATCCCAAAGTAGCTTTTGTAGTAGGGCAAAGCACGGGTAGCTACCTGGAATAAAAGGTAATTGAAAACATACAAATATGACCCTAATCAGCATATAAATTAAAGAAATATTTTCCAACATAGCAATCCGGCAAAACAATGGGAACTGGCTTTTTTTTTTTTTTTTGCTGCATATGTGTACACGAAAGCAACAGAACACTCCATGTCGGTGTGGCATACAAGTCTCACCACAGAAATGCACCAAGATCACACACGGCTACCGGTCTGTACACATTTTGAAGACGTGGGCAAACAGACATGATGTGCACATAAAGTGTGCACTTTGAGTGTGCACCTTCAAGATCACCCTCAACGATGGCACTCATGTTTCAGGTTGAGAAATGTTTCCCATGAATATATTGATTCCCTTTCTAATTATCAACAATAGAGGTACTAAAATGTTTTCAAATTTATAACTGCACAAAGTCTGTGCAAGTCCTCAAAATCTAAACCAACTTCTTTGAGCTCCCACACCAGAGGTTTACAACATGGCCATGCGACTTCGGAACACCTCCTGCCACTTCAGGCCCACATACCCATATTTGAAGTGAGCAGGTTTCCATGCCATCTGCATGCTACCACCTTGAGAGGGGTAGGTAAGTGCCATGAAATAGACCCCATGTGGTAACGCCTTAGAGGCGTCGGAATTGTGAAAAAGTGGTTCAAGAAAAGTACATAAATAAATTGATAAAGATCTGGGTTGCTTTTTTGTAGCAAGGTGTTATACTGAAACCTTGTTATAACAATATTGAAGGGGAGCCACAATTATTTCATTATATCCATTATTCCATTATATCGATTGTAACAGTTTGTGGCAATGTATGCTCAGATGGGCGCACACCTATAAGCATGCAAAGAAGGAAACCGCCTCGCGACCCAATGTACCGCTACGCGACCACGCGTGCAGTGGAAAATAAACACAGTCGAGCCTCATTAATTTGAACACGCTTAATTCGAACTTTCGGTTAATTCAAACTCACACTGAGGTCCTGTCAAAGTTACTTGTATTTCAATGGGCGAAAACGCCCTGTAATTCGAACGCGCAAGAGCTTGCTACGGTTAATTCGAACATACCGCGCTCCGAAAAAGCTCTCAGCACCATGCCCGATCTCGCGGCAGCACCTCTCAACGCGGCGTGCGAAGAAGGAAAAGAAGAAAAGGAAAGAAAAGACTGTGGCGGATTGTTTGTTCTCTCTCAAACGCCGATCTGCGATGCGCCTGTACCACGCTTCTCCCTTTTTCGTCTCTGCACGTAGAGACCCTTCTCCTTTCAAGGCCGCGCGCGGAGAGAGAGAGAGAGAGAAAAAAAAAAGAAAGCTGTCGCGGAGAGTTCTTTTTTTTCGGTGCAGAGGGTAGCAGCAAAACGCACTCGTTGCCGTCGTCTTTAAGGCGCGAAAAGGAAAATCGCTTTGCACTGCGGCGCCGCTTCTTGGTCATGTGAACCACTGAGCGCTTCCTCAATCCTCTTCGCTGGCTGTGTGAGGAGGACGGCTCTCTCGACCGCGCGTGGCGCGGCTGTAAGGTCGGCGCGGTAGTTTTGAAAAAGCCGGGCTGAACGAGCTTCAAGCTTCGCAGAAAACAATGTACTTAACACACTACGTTTGGTTCATTTTTTTTATAGACTATTTGATAGACTAATTTAGTTTGTTATATCAATTTACCGGTCAATTTTACTTCACTACATCGAGGTTTAAAATGCATGGTTCTCCATGAAGCTTTCAAGCATAATTTCATTTACATCATTATATCCATTATTCCGTTATATCCCCTTATGTTATAACGAGGTTTGAGTGTATATAGTGGTCGATTCCAGGCTATTCTTATCATTTAGTGCTCACAACTTGCTGATCCTGCACGAGCAATTGTACTGCTAAAGTGCAATAAGACAATGAGAAAAGTGTCACTACAAAACAGTGGTGGCTTTGATCTATGCAAATCCAGACATAACCAAATCCAAACAAGACAGGAAGATTGATATGTGAAGTGATAAGCCCTTGGCATCCTCTGTTCGAGCACTGTTCGTTCCAGACAGCATCAAAAGCAGATAGCTCACCTCAAGAGCATAATTTCCTTGCTCGCTTTTGCCTTTGGGCGTGTAGATTCTGACTAAAACGCCGTCATCCGAAGTTCCTTCAACATAATCATACTCGCCCAGAACAAAGGCCACCAGGTAGGTGGGCATCTTCGGGGTTGTGGCAAATGTGATCATGTGCAGCATTGGGTCTCCAGGGCAGTCAAGATCCAAGACGACATTCTGGATTGAAATATGTACAAAAGCACATAAATTAACAACCACAACATGCATTATAGAACAACAGCTCGGCAGAATACATATGTACAAGGTAACAACATAAAAATATACTTTTGCAAGAGTATACTTATTAACACGCTGTAGGAGAGCACGCTCACCCATTTTCCTTTCCTTAATTGTGGCACAAACCGGTCACTTGGGAAAGGACACCACCTTTTCTCGGGATCCCTTCCACCCCGCAAACAGCTCGCACAACTCTCTGCTTCCCTCATCAAAGGAAAGGCTGCTTTTCTGTGGCAAGGGCAACAACCCATGCCGGGGGAGGGGGGAGGAGCCAGCAGAGGTGAACAAAACAGCCAAGCGGACAGGGAGACAGGCTCTCTTGCCCTGGCGGTCACTGTGACCCGCGAGCTAACTATCAACGAAAGGAGTAAGCTCTAACATTTATGCGTTATTGAAGATGTAGCAATAAGGAGTTGTTTGGCGACATAGCCTTTTGCCTTATTCACCTGAACTCGTAGCTGCAATAGCTCGTGCTGTGAAAAGGGGACGTTAACACGTGCACAGCACGGCACGACTGTGTCCGGCATGAAGTGGCCCCCCTCGACGCATGATCTTCAAAAATTTCACCTAGCTACAATTCGTATCACACTATACGTGCTGTTAGGTACCGTACCTGAGCTTACAAAAGGAGCGGCGTTTTTTCGATCCTCGCACAAGTCTTCAAACGGCTGCTAGTCTATATCCGCCATGTATTGTCCCGCCTAGCCGGAGGGTGAGGCATAGTGCCGCTGAGACGGCGTAGGCCGTTTCGCGAGAGGACAAGTGTTTACGCGGTAGCAAATTCTTCCTTGGAAGGGACAGCTGCGGAAGTTGCAAATCGCCCCGCTCGAGCGAGCAGTTCGGCAGACCAATGTCAACAAAATACGAAAAATATATTTTTGAAAATTTTGACGTCCCACGAGGAGATTTCGGCACGAAATTTAAGTGAAACTTCAGTCTTAATTTCCTTCGTTAATGATGAACTTACAATAGTGAAACTTATGGCATTAGAGGTCTTAGAGTACAGTTTATCAAGCTAAGCCAAGTGACCGTTTCTCTTTCATGCTCTTTAAAGTATACTCAGCTCTGCTGCATCTGCCATCTCGACGTGATTGCCATCATAGCAATGTCCGGAAGCAAGCCTTGCCGAAATGCTTAAAGGGGCCCTGCAAAACTTTTTCAAGTAGCCAAGGAATGGTTTCACTAAGGAGCTTATTGCCTCACGAATTCACTGCCACAAAAATATTTAAAATTTGTCCAGTACGAACGGAGTTACGAAGATTTGTTGCACATTGCAATTGCATTCTCTATTCTCTTGTCTCGACGAAAGCACTGGAAGCTAAGCAGGGAGGAATGGCGCGAGGAAAGAGAATATGTCTTTTGTCTCTCAACTACGCAACTGTTCAGTGAGATCTCGCGCACACGCGTGGACAAGTCACGGCCTCCTTCAGTGGGCCCAGTAATGACTGAGCATACCAGGCTCAAATCGGCCAATGGCCGATACGTTGGCTGTGACTAGTGAATTTTTAGCTTGTAATGTCGTTTGTCGAGAGAAGAAAAAGCAATGTTTAGCTCACTTTAAGAATTTATTGTGAATTCCAGGCCACATGCCATGCTATAATATTTGGCTCGCCATGTGGTAGCCTCAACTAGCGATCGACAGCGTTTCCTGACCACGCTCAAAAAGTGTTGCAGGTATCCTTTTACGTGGTATTGGGTGAAGCAGAGAGAAATATGAAGAATCCACAACTATAAGCAATGTGTAATTTTGATAAGCAATGTGTAATCTTGAGCAAACTGCTTCGGTGTGCATGTGGCCTGGCACAGTTGTAAGCATACTGAACACTTTTAATAGGCGACAAACCAAACACAAATGCCACCGTTTCGCCAAGTGCCCCGCACAAGCATGTTGCCTTACGAACAAAGGCAGCTCGCCATCAATGTGTAATCTTGATAAGCAATGTGTAATCTTGAGCAAACTGCTTCGGTGTGCATGTGGCCTGGCACAGTTGTAAGCATACTGAACACTTTTAATAGGCGACAAACCAAACACAAATGCCACCGTTTCGCCAAGTGCCCCGCACAAGCATGTTGCCTTACGAACAAAGGCAGCTCGCCATCAATGTGTAATCTTGATAAGCAATGTGTAATCTTGAGCAAACTGCTTCGGTGTGCATGTGGCCTGGCACAGTTGTAAGCATACTGAACACTTTTAATAGGCGACAAACCAAACACAAATGCCACCGTTTCGCCAAGTGCCCCGCACAAACATGTTGCCTTACGAACAAAGGCAGCTCGCCATCGTCACGTCCATGTGCGGTCAGAATTGGAGTGGACATCAATCATGACAAATGTGTGCGTGTACAGTAACCGCACAGGCAGTGATGACATTAGCATTAGTTTACAATGTGCTGCACTCAACTCGGGACAAACAGCTTCATGCGGCGTGTAGGTGGAGATTTCCGTGTAGTCGTGCATTCTTTATAAGCACACGCATCAGGAAAATTGGGAATAGTCGAGCAGTCTTCCGCCACAGCCTTTGTGTTACGTGCGTGACATCGTTTTCAAACGCTCTGTGCCAGAGAGCATGTAGTTAAGCGAGTTACGTGTCAGGTCACGAATGTATTCACAAGAGCATGGGCGTGCACCAGAATGCCCAGGTGTACTGGGAGGCAGTGAAGCTATTTCGGATGTGGCTGTGGCCATTCGACCGTTTAAGTGCAAGAAAAGCCGGACGAATTGGCGGTCTCTAGATAGTCCGAAACACCCGAACTTGACTGTAGGATATACTGCCACAGCCACAGAAACATTGGACCCAGTTTGTCTTAGCTTGGCTACTATTGCGTCGTGTGCAGGTACACCAGGAATAGAGTTTCCTGCAAATACACTAGATGAATAACATATTGCCGCGCCCGAAACAAAGAACGAAAACGATGTGCGCGCCAACAGCCTCGTGAAAAGGGGGACTGAAGAAGACGATGTGCTTTTGTTTTGCTCGCCTGCTCCTGGCTCCTGCATAAAAACACACGCCGTCGGTTCTCGGACTCAACGTCTCGGTGCACTGCTTACGTTGAACCGCGACAATATGCTGTTGGGCTTGTTGGTGTATAACTGGGTAGGCATGCAACATGAAAGAAGAAGTCTATGTCCCTTCTTTCGTCTTCTTTCATGTTTCAAGCCAACGATGTCCTACACTAGAGGCAAATAAGGTGTTTAGTGTCTGGGAGCTCAGACGCACGGCGCTTCAACTAGCATAGGAATGATGGGTAGTACACAAATATGTCTAATCTTCGTTCTTTCAGCTCTGTTTGGCTATGGGTGGCCTTGAGCAGCGTTGTCATGAGACGACAATCAACAAATGTTCAGCAGTCACGGTTCACCATCTTTACCTTTTAGGCTCACCAATTCAAATCAGGTCCCGAAGTCCACAATGGTTTGTTCTTTTATTTGAAACAAAGCCAAAATACAACAAAAAAAAAATCCACAAGTGTATTGGAAGCCCACAAGCATGAAGACTAGGCAAGTTTGTGTGCTACCCATTATTCCTATCGTGGCTGAATGATCGCACTGACGAAGTCCCCTCTGGTTAACTATAGGAAACTCCATGACACCAGGTAGACTGCAATATCATTTTCAATTGGGGAAACTCAATTAGTTTTATTTCTGAAGGTCGGCCTGCACTCTGGGCAAAGGTTGGATGCACACTCGTCAAATTTTGAGGAAATGCAGCAGAATGTAGCAGCCAAGGCACTTGCGCACAGTTTTGATTGATTGATTGATTGATATGTGGGGTTTAACGTCCCAAAACCACTATATGATTATGAGAGACGCCGTAGTGGAGGGCTCCGGAAATTTAGACCACCTGGGGTTCTTTAACGTGCACCCAAATCTGAGCACACGGGCCTACAATATTTCCGCCTCCATCGGAAATGCAGCCGCCGCAGCCGGGATTCGAACCCGCGCCCTGCGGGTCAGCAGCCGAGTACCTTAGCCACTAGACCACCACGGCGGGGCATTGCGCACAGTTTGGAGCAGCGATAGCATCACTGTGTTCATCAATTGTTCCTGGAAACATTTATTTCATCCAATAACATTAAGTATCCGATTCTTTAAGAAAACTTAATCCAAAGACATCAACCATTCCTGTTTATATGCAATTTTCAGTAATCTACCCTAACGCTGCACTTGTTTCAACAGGCATGAAATATTGCAATCATGTTTGCAAGATGGTCTTTACAATCAGTTGCATTCTTTTTAGCACAAGTTTTTATTCTACTGGAAAAAAAAGAAAAAGCACAAATACTGTAGCATTTGCTTTGTTATACCCGGTGTCTTGGCAAATGTGACAGTTAATTCAAGGCTCAAATGCATTACAAGACAATTCAAGCTCAAGTAAATAATCAAATTTGTATTACGGTGTTGGAGAGAGCCGTGTAGCCCTTGGGGACGATGAGTGTTAGATCAAAGGACGCCTTCAAGGCTGGTTCATCCCAGCAAGGAAAAGCTCGTCGAGCATCAGTCGGCTAAGAAAGAGAGAAATAACAGCATACACTCAGTTAAACTTTAAGTATCCAAGACAAGTGCATCGGCAAATGTTTGAGTTATTTGCCAATCTGTGCCACATTGATCTAAACAGAAACTAAGTTTAAAAGAGTCATGGTCTGAATTGACAAATATTCAGTGTAGATTAAGACAATGAAACAAAGAGAGAGACAAGCTTATCACAAATGTACTGTAATAGTACAAAACACACAGAATAAAGAGAACATATAGAGCTTAAGTTCAAGCATTTTTAAAAGAAGACTGCAAAAAATTTTTCGCCCCAGATTTTCAGCTCCATTGAAAGACGAAATACTGGATGCTAAAATTGATAAATACAACTTTCATATCATGCATAAACTAGTGAAAAATAATGAATTTAATGCATGTTCACAAACTGCTGCGTATAGTGGGCACGTCATGAACTAAAGTGGGCTACAAAAAAGAGGTGGAGGAAGAAACTAGCAGGACAAAAAGAATGCACCTTGCTTCCACCACAAGGACGTTACACGTCATGACCTCCTAGCGCGCTTGCAATCTTCGAAAAATACAGCCAACTGTAGAAGCGTGCAATCTTCTTGCTTTTGCTGTGGGGAGTCTTGATGTCACAGCCTGCTAGCAAGTTTAATTTCCTCAAAAAATACAGACAACTGTTACAAAATATGTAAAATCAACTGTTTATTGGAAAAGTCTTGTCTTCCAAGTAGAATGTCAATGTTTTTATTTTTTTCTCTATTTTTGCTCAGTATCCCTTTAAAGGGACACTAAGAGCGACTATTAAGTCGACGTTGATTATTGAAATAGCGGTCGAGAAACCTAGTAGTTTTACTTTTGTGCCAAGGAAGTGCTTATTTTGAAATAAAATCACGTTTTAGTGGTCCGCATCGGGTTAGCGCACTTCAAATTACCCACTGAACCGTCTCACGTCACTGTTGCCGTGTACAATGTTGCCCAGATTTACTGCACAGCCGCCGACACTAGTAGCAGCAGAACAAAAGCTTCGGGAGCCACAGCAGAAACAACAGCTGCCACTGGCTCCGAGATGGCAGATGTGTTTTGGTTCAACAGGGCCCCGCTAGATGGCATGACCTGCCCCGTTTAACTAGGCAAAAATTAAATTTTCGCACCACACGCGCCATTCTCCACAGTAACGTCTGGCAAACCGGTTCTTTTTTTTTTTCATGAATCAAACAGAAACGAACAAGAAGCATATTATTACGTTTCTTGATGCACGGAAGGTTCTTTATTTAGTGCACCTAGTTCAATTACTAGTGAACAATTGTAGGTGGTTCATCTAACATCATCAGGATTATTTTAAATATGTACTATCGTAGCGCATGTGCTTACGAGAATTTACCTTACTTAATTTCTCGGTAAGTAGGCCACCGCTGTTTATAATATTGTCATTTTAAAGGTTGCCGTACATTGAGCTTTTACTCTCACGTAAATTGTAATTTGATTTTAGTGTCCCTTTCCCATCAGGAAATGAAAAACATTAAAGGAGCACTGACATAAAATTTCGAAGGCAAGATAGTGGGATAGATTTATGTAAAGATATTGCCACCTGCATGTAATGGGTTGAGAGCAAGAGCGAGTCTCGCCCTAGAAAAGAGAAGAAGCACACGATCAAGTTCTTCTCTTTTCAAGGTCAGAGCCGCTCTTTCTTTCAACCCATTTCGCAACCTGCAAAAGCATTATCACTTTTTCAGCCGGGCGAGCAATCGATGTACAAGACGACGAACGGCCTCTCAACGTACTTTGTGTCTCTGAAGATAGCATCACACTTCCTCATCGAGCAAGCATCATAGTCAAAGTCACATGCAGTAATTTGGGCGATGGTGAAGCGGTGACCGAAACAAATATAGAGCACCTACTAAAACAAGGAATTTGTGTAGCTAGAAGTGTCATACAGATTCCTGGTGGCCGATCGCAGTTGCATGTTACCAACTTTAGCAACGAGCAACGTCAACTCTTCTGCGGCACTTTTGCAACGGAAGAGTTTTGCCACGGAATCGCTTTTGCCAACGAAGAAGCAAAGGCTAGCAAGTGTTTCACATCGAAAGCAACAGACACCACTGATGCGACACTCGGTCATATCGACATCAATCCTGCGCTGTCGCCTGATAATCAGACTGCGCTGCGCATGCTATTCGAATTCAGGTCCTGCTTCACAAGTTTCTCAAAAGTGCACCAGACATTCATCACTTGGCATGGGATAATCACATACGACGACACAAACCCGATCAACTAGCCCCCGTACCGCATGTCGACAAAAGAATGCAAAGCAATATGTACAAAAGTCCGAGAGATGCTTGACGATGGTTATCATCGAACTATCCAACAGTCCGTGGTTGTCTCCTGTCGTCCTTGTCAAAAAGAATGAATGCACACTACCCTTTGGATCGACTACCAGAAGCTTAACAATGTGACCAAAAAAGACGTGTACCCGATGCCGCATATCGACTACTTGTTGGATAGACTTCGCCATGCCCACTATTTCTCTTTTCTCAATCTAAAAAGTGGGCACTAGCAAATTGAGGTAAATGAGCGAGACTACGAGGAAACAACCTTTGTGACACCAGAAAGCCTCTACCAATTTTCTGCTTTCCTTGTCTAACTCCGTAATCATGAGTTGCAATTCGTCCCCTGAGTTACTCAGCAATGCAATGTCATCAGCGAAGTGCAGGTTACTAAGGTACTCTCCATTAACTCTTATCCCTAATGTTCCCATTCTAGGCTTCTGAAAACCTCCTGTAAGCACATGGTAAGCACGCGTGGAGTTCAGTTGGTCCTAAAAAAAATCTTATTCACATTGATACATGAACTACATAATTTCATTTGCAAGTAAGTCAAGTGAAGAGTTTATAAATGAGAAAATGCTTTCAAACATTTGGGACAATATGAAGTAACAATAGAATGGCAGCTAAAAAAAAATTCACCTCAAAATGAGTGACACCTCCAAACTTGTCTTCACCATTTTGTCCTTTATATTTTACCCAGTAAAAGCCTTTCAACTTTCCATTCATTTCACCTGAATAGGATATTACAAGCTTTCCAGTGCCTGGGGTTAGCACAGTGTCAAACTTTATAGTGATCCTCTCTTCTTCCTTGGATGCGGCGATGCTGCTCACCTTGTGTTCTGCATGACACCGTAAAACACAACAGCTTTTCATCACATTTATACAGGCCACAACTGCACAAATGTAACACCGAAGCGTCAAAGTTTTAATGCACAACAGCGAAAATACACTGCTTCCAACAATGTTCCACGCAACGATGTATATCACAAGAGTGGAAGCTTGGGCTAGTTGGTGCGTAGTCATATTTGCAAGATTGTTTCAGCGTGCGAACAAAGGAAAAAGGACAGGGTAGACAGAAAGAGCGCTGACTTCCAACTAACTTTATTTCACAAAGTGGCAAAACTATATACATCTAAAAAGGATGATTACAGAGCATGAAGGTAAAAAGCAAGCCTAACCTACACATCAGTAACAAAGCACGTGTGACGGGTCCTCTATTGCCTTAAAGCCAAGCCAGGTAATCACGTTCTATCCGAAGCCGGAAAAAAAAAACACACTTGCTGGGAGATAAATGCATAAGCACTTCATTGGTTGCTTTATCACAGGCTGAACGTGATTACCTGGCTGGGCTTTAAGGCAATAGAGTACCCGTATCACACGTGCTTTGTTACTGATGTGTAAATTAGGCTTGCTTTTTACCTTCATGCTCTGTAATCATCCTTTTTAGACGTATATGTTATTGCCACTCAGTGAAATAAGTTAGTTGAAAGTCAGTGCTCTCTCTGTCTACCCTGTCCTTTTTCCTTTGTTCATGCGCTGAAACAACCTTGCAGATGTATATCAAAATGCATTAGGAAAAAAAAATAATAAGACTGCACAAGAACAATGCCAATAATAGTGCTCCAGCGACACTTGGGACAATATGGGTCGCAATAGTGCATCAAGCAGTGCAAAACTACAACAGACAACTCTCACAGCAAAAAAAAAAGTAATAATAATGGGGGGGGGGCTTTTACATTTAAAAGAAAAAGCAGGGAGGTTAACCATAGTTCCACCATACACTTCACACGTCAATACCATTAAAAAAACGAATTCCACCAACATTGACACCCGCGCTCTCACATCATAAAACATGCAAGGAAAACGGTAAGTTGGTTTCGAGAAAAATGGGCCTAATTCCAACAGCAGCACTTCCAACTCATTTTGCTAGCTCAGCCCACAAGATGAAAAACACCAGGCCTGTGCAGAAGGCACAGCACAGTCATATCGAAAGCAAGAACGACCTTTCAGAGCCTTTTCTAAACACTCATTGAATAACTGCTGCAAGCACATTTGCTTGCAAGCCCACTACGGCCTTAATAATAAATATTTTAGGGTAGTAGGCTGGCATTCACTATGATACTTTTCGTTATTCTTCTGAGAAGCACGGTATCTGCTAAACTATTGCAAGAAATTTTGTGCCCATTGTTCATGCAGTGGCTGACGACGATGCGGAATGCCTGAAGTGGGTAAGTGCCACAATTAATAGCTGAACAAAAACAAGCTTTTGTAATGGGCCGAATCATCGGACGACCCACTCGTTACACTATTCACCTTGTGCGACGACTGTTTGTTCTTTCACTGTTTTAAAACGCTTTATAAGTCGTATCAACGCAATTGCTTTCTCGACATCAAACCTGCCTAAGGCAAGTTTGCCGATAAGTCCCAAGCATTGGCGTGCCTCAGTGGTAGAATACCGGGCTGACACTCAGCAGACCCGGGTTCGAGTCCCACTGTGTCCTTGCTACTAAATTTTTTCGCTCATTTCGCGTGATAAAATAAAAGTCTAGCCAAGACTTTTATTTTACTATTTTGTGCCAAGAAGGTGGCCTGGCTTGACCTTTAGGGCACTGGTTAAACCCTCTACCTCCCATGTATTTCAAGGCCTTGGTAAGACCCCTTTTCTCTGGAACTTCTCTATATAAAGAATTTAGGTGCGTTTCATTTTATTCGTTAGCGTTTTTTCTTGCGAAAGAGCAAGAAATACAACTGTATTTCAAGTGCTGACATTTTCGTGACTTTTTTAGCAAATCAATTAACTATCATTTTTAAAACAAAACTGCAAATCAAGTAACTTGTCATTATTTTTTAAATAAAACTGCAAAGAGAAAAAGCTATTTCGCATACACACACCACTTTAGTCTAGTAGCTTTGTAATAATGTTTAGTTTATTCTGGTAAAAAATCAACCTTCAGTTTTTCAAGATGTTATGATTATGGGCCGTATGTAACAAAAAACCAATCATGCTATCAATAGCTAAAAAGGAAAAACAAGTTCATTTCATGTTTCAAGGAATGCACTAAACAATTTATTTAATAGCAACCTGCCATATAGTCATCACACAAATAAGCTTTTTCTTTGTTTTCTTGTTTTCTTTGCTCATTGGCTTCGGTTGTCACATCTTTCATCTCCCTATTGGCCATACAATGTCAATGGCAGTCAATCTCACAGTGTTGTGCCTCAGTGTTATGCCAAATGGTCTTCAGAAGAATTAATGGAGTCTCGCTTCAGTTTGCAGTCAAAGCATGTTGATTTCTAATTATACTAGGCTTTTTTTTTTTAGCCTGCTAGGCTTGGAAAAGCTAACACTTCGAATTTTTGAACAATTCACTTGAAAGCTCAGGTTGTGCACAACAGTCTGAGAAACTGGGAGGCTTGGCTGCTTGTCAGTGGATCTTAAAAGCATGGTCCTTTTGGCTATTTCGAAATGCGTAAAAATGTGTGGTGCATTGAATATTGTTGAGAAAGGTCATATTTTTCGATGGAGGAAAAATGTTTATGTCCATGTGCTTAGATTTAGGTGCACATTAAAGAACCCCCAGTGGTCGAAATTTCCGAAGCCCTATACTATGGTCTCTCTCATAATCATATCGTGGTTTTGGGACGTTAAACCCCAGATATTATTATTATTATTATTATTAGCAAGGGCATATTATTCTAAAGAAGTAAAAAAACAATTTATTTTACCCAACCCTGTGTCCTTAAAGGAGTACTGAAACAAATTTCAAATATTTCCAGGTAGTTGCTCTAAATAAAAGTGCGGGTGTTCATGCTAGCAAGACAATGCTAGCATGAATTGGCTCTCTGGCAATGTGACATTATCAGTTCACCTCAAGGAGCGGAGTTGCACGTCCTAAATGTTTGTTCCCCTGTGGTCTTCACGCACGACATAAATTTTGCAAACCCAGTGAACTGTGTTGACAAGTAATGATAATGTCCGTTGAAGTGCGGCTGCCTTGCAGATGCTGGATGACAAACTTTAAAATTGAAGTAAAATATTTTGTTTGCATTGTCTGGCTCCGGTGTGTGAAGAGTAATGACAGTACATGCCATGGAAACAAAAATATCACTTTTGGGGTGCCTCAAAATCTTGTCAGAACTCCTTTAGAGATTAAAAAACCCTTATATCTCTAGCAATCATATATTCTTCGTACTCTTAAAACTAGGCAACTTTGCTAATGTAATGCCTCCTATATTTCATTCAATGCCAGTGCAAACGCGCACTCTTTAACGGGAGGCATCGGTTCGCCTCAGTTCAGAGAGTGGTCATGATGCGACGCCACCGGAGGGGTAGGGCTGCTTGCATCCCACGTGCTGCCAAGCGCTTTCCCATGGAAATGCGACAGACGTGTGTCGCTCTCCAATATCATAAGTCTGCCAGATTCGTTCCTTCATGCTCCTTCTTTGTGACTGGAAGCAATGCCGCCACCACCTGACAGAGCTAGTTATGCAGCAGCGTCACCGTGACGCGTCCCATTGGTTGCCCCCGCATAGTGCCACGAATGGCGACACGCTATCTCAAAACACCGAATCACTTACAGAGCCAGCATGACTACCAACACTGTAATCACGAGGAATGCTAGATGCCGCCCCACAGATCTGTACACAACTGAATGATATATGGGATTTAACGTCCCAAAACCACCATATGATTATGAGAGACGCCGCAGTAGAGGGCACCGGAAATTTTGACCACCTGGGGTTCTTTAACGTGCACCCAAATATGAGCACATCCGCCTACAACATTTCCGCCTCCATCGGAAATGCAGCCGCCACAGCCGGGATTCGATCCCGCGACCTGCGGGTCAGCAGCCGAGTACCTTAGCCATTAAACCACCGCGGCAAGGCTGCACACAACGGAACAAAAAATTACTATATATTATTCTCGTCGTCGGACACTGCATTCCCCATAAACACAAAGCACATGCAAAGGCTAGGCGATGGGCAAGAGCAGGAAAGAGCAAGAGGAGAGGGTGCTGAACATACGGATCGGGCGCATCTGGCTGGCATTGATAAAATATAGGAGGCACTGGCTAATGTATGCCACTACTGCTGCAGTTAATTTCACAACATACCACACCTGCAGCTACCTCCTAATGGCAAGCACGATGAAACGACATCGTACTTCCATACCTCGTGTTAGCAAGTACTACATTAGACCTCTTCTTAACTTTCTGATGTCAGCTTACCTGCAAAGCTAAACTGACCAGAAAGTTCCTCCAGCATTTTTCAGAAATGGAAGCACCTCCTGACCCTTGGAGCCATAAATAAAAAGCCAACTTATTGCCCAAGTGCTAAATGCATACTGGCTATTTTACCTTCTTGTATGAGTACAGCTCTTAAATAAATGCCTCACAATATGCAACTTTTTGGTTAGGGCACTGAAAAGGATAACCATCACCTATGCTTGCCTTAGCTTGAAAAATGTATGAACCCATGTAGCAAATACATCGGCACTCGTGTGAAGTATAAACTTGCATATATAATTAATAAACTCACACGTGGAATGTGAGCAATACGGGGCAAACAGCAGGTGCAGTGTTGTGATTAATCAAAGCCATTTTGAGGCAACTTCGGGAACAGATAAAACCCTGCTTTGGTGCAGCACATCAGCCATTTACAGAAGTTACTATTCCCACGCTTTCAAACACAAATTTTCTCTCTATTAGGGAGCAGCTGTATCATATTTAGTGAAATACACATATGCACACATGAATGCAAGTTTATTATTAAAATCCTCAGATATAAATAATAATAATAATAATAATAATAATAATAATAAGTGCTTTTTGTGTCCAAA